GTAGCCCACCTACCTCGGTGTTCCTTCCAGCCCCCGACCAAATAGTGCACAGTATGGTAGACGTTGCTCAGGTATTCGTAAGACGTTCTCCAGCCTTCTAAGACGATGCGGGGAAATCATTTCGTTCAACGGAAGACTATCTGATCGTAACACATGTCGTCTGACCTCATCGTTATTGACGCGATGCTCCCATCATACTCTGGCGATATTGCGCAGAGAATGATCTTCGATGACGGATAGTCGTTGGACGTGATCTGCTCGGAGTGACCGGGTTTCGCAGTCATAGATAATCAGGGTGCGTACCGTTGCGCGATACACGCGCCCTTTCATTGAAAGGGGTATCCCGCGCCGGCGCCAGAAATGCTGTAATTTATCAAACGCTAATCTAGCTCTGATCACGCGTTCAGAGATCTTGCCCACTCTGAACCAACCGTTATGCAACTCCCGTGGTATACAAAGCTTCCGACTATTTCCGGTGTGTGGTTATCCAATCTTGCACTTTGAAGATGCAGAAGAAATGCCATAACGAGTTACTTCCATTACCTAATGATTCAGTGCTACTAGAATCGCCCCTGTGTTTTGCAACCACAGGAGACGCTAAGTGGCTGTCAATTACGGCTTGCGTACCTTCACTCGTCATGGTCAAACTCACTAACTCTCTGTGGTGGGGATAACAAGTATGCCTCGTAACACTGTTTCAACGACGCATACTGGCTTCGGTTGAAAGACCCTAATGGAGCTTTGAATCGGGTTACTCACATGTTGCTGGCTAATACTATTACACTGTTTATTCGGCTTATCCCGTTACTGTATCAGGGAGGAAAACCCAGGTGGAAGTATACTGTTACCACGAGCTTCTCTCTAGGTGTATTCGAGAGCCTAACTATGGCCGTGAGTGTGGGTCTTGGGTTGTTACTGGTCGCCCCTCCTCTGCACTTTGTGAAATGCTCCCGTACAACCAATCGTCTCAAATATCCCCTTCTGAAGAAGCTCTTCCCACNAACCGACACCTGAGGCTGAAATCGGTTCGGTGGCAGTTTCCAACCGGCGATAGATTGATTTTTTTTCTTTCACACGGCAGATGCTGATCTCCGCTTATTATTACATTAAAAACAAAATCTACAGCAGATGTGGGCCTGTCCAAAAGCTTTTCTATCAGAGATCAGGAGTTGACAATCATTGGAATAAACAGGCCCATCGTTTAACATCGCATGTTGCATATTCTGGATAGTCTATATCAATTCTGAAGATAGAATCCGACTTCCCCACCCTCTAGACCGAGCGGATCTACCAAATCACGGTAAAATGCGGCTGCCGATTAAATCAATATATATGAGACTCGAAACAAAGGTGGTTCGCGGAAAACACCGGTGGAAGCTTAAGTGTGAATATCCCACAACCGACTCGTCCCTAGTATGTTGTCCGTAGAACCAAACGAGGGGGAAACCTCGTAAGCAGCTGACCACAAAAGCGCACCTGCTGCTTGGAGTTTGAAGAGGTCTCATTGATTTGGGTCCGAAAACGCTCTGTGAAATCGATCGCTGTAGTGAAAGAACGAAGCTCTTGCTTTGAAAACTTTGTTTCCAGAGATCGCTTGTATCCGCTCTATGTAAAGCGGACGAGGCTTAGTTGGGCAGTCTAGTCGAAGACACCAACCTTTGCGTAATCTACACCAAACTTACAACGATCAAGCCAAAGGATATCAAATTGGCTAACTACATCCGAGAACGAACCTACTTTCTTTCCTCGGGGATCTACTAAGAAAAAAACCAAGGCTCTCTTCATGACCTTTTTGGGTAGCGGCGTTCGGACTGTCGAGATGACTTTTACAGGAATCCAGAGGCGATGAGATCGACTACCGCCACTCGCCCCATTAATGTATTTTCCTGAAATTCAGATTGGCCGCTTCTCTCCATTTGAAAATGGACTGTACAGATGCATTTACAATAAATAAATAGAGTAAAAAGTTATTTCAGTTGAACAGGACCTCAAGAGCCAGGAGAGGATGCGCCAAGTTGTGGCTGGTCAGGCCTCGCTTGCACCTCATGAAATGCTCTCATACGATCAAACGTCTCAAATAGGCCTCTTCTGAGGAAGCTCTACTCACTTCCTTGCAGTGGAGTTTTCCCACCAAAATGGGAGCAAAAGTCGACACCTGGGTTGGTGAACCACTGGCATTTCGACTAGGGGAGTTGACTGAAAACCCTAATGCAAAACCAGCCGAACCACAAATTCACACACTCCCAGTTCTGTCAGTAGTCACTAGCTCGATTGGGTACCGAGATGTACGGGCACCTTGGACGCTCGACCTCGTGCGAGGAGTGTAGAATCCAATGAACTGGACGGCAGTCTTCGATTGGATCGCGGTTTTCACATACCGCTCAGGTGCCTTGCGGGTCAAGCTTTGGCTAGCCGAAGGCTCTGGTTGTGAATTCCCTAAAAGGCTCGCCTTTGATCTGGATAAACTAGCAGTATAGCGTCCACGAGCAAATCAAGACACTTTCCATTCATAAAGATTATTCTACCGTAGTTTTGCGGCATAGTCTGGAGTCAGATATGTGAGAAAATATAAATATGAAGCGACGAAAAGCTTCGATTACTGTAGTTCAATCTACCGTTTCAAAAATTGATTCTCCTGGTACTTAAATCTGACTCAATCCTACCTGAAGGAGATCGACCGTCTGTAGCTACGTGTGGGATGTCGCGACGGGACCCGTAAATAACAGTCACTATATGATCACAACGCTCGAGTTGAAGCTTGATTGGTCCACAGTAACACATCCCACCAAAATGCCCAGTGTGCGAGCCAATAGAAAAAGTCTTCCGTATCAGTAAGTTTGCGAGTGAGTGGTGTCTGTGTATACATGGTTTTGAAACATCCCATCAGGGAGATGAGATAAAGGCAATACGTTGGGAACATACACGTGTAGTATGTCTTCCACGGCACCCGCAACTATACGGAACGGGTTGTGGTTGCACAGGGTGTGGTAGGTTTCATTTGCGCTCAGAAAACAATGAGGTCAACAACAGAATAACAAATCCGGACGTTACACAAATGACGATAATTTTTCACCTCGTCCACTTGCACGCACATGTGTGTGTGTATATGAATCATCAACGGGGAACACAAGCCACTGCGATCGTTCTCACATGTTGTACAGCACTGCGCGATAAAACATGGTAAAGGGGGTAGGGAGAGGTTCAGAATTTGTACATTTCACGAAGAGAAGACAGTAGATGTCAGATCAGAATGGCAATGAACAAATTTGCTGATCAGACTTGAACTGAAGTGGATGGGAATGCGTGAGCGCATGCGTGGGATTCGTGCCCGGATGCGAAATTAGAGCACATGACCCAGACCGGCTGCCTGAGCAATAGTCGCGCTTAGACAAATGTACTCTCCGGCACCCGGTTCTAACGGTCCAACGGAAGATGTTGTGGTGCTGTTAGTGGCAGTGGGGTTGGTCTGGTCTTGCATTACGGAACTGGACCCCTGTGAGTCACCAGTACGATTGACATTGCCGCCACCGCTGGCCTTCATGAATTCACTGAGCGCGTGCTTAAAGCTGGACACATTTTGGGTGAATCTGTGGAGCAAGACAGATGGAAATGTAATGGATGCGAAGGAGAGATAAATTGATAAGGCTGACAACATGATCAAAACAGAGACGGCTAGTCAAACTGAGTCAATTTCATCTTGAACTACGCCTGTGCAGCATTCGCTGCTGCGGGCAATTAGTGAGTGCTTTGAACTGAGGGTCACGAAAAACAGCAGTGTTGGAAAGCATTTCAGATGGTGTCTGCAGACCACTCTCCGAAAGTAGCCAAGTCCTAAGTTACCAAACCGCATTCGATCGATGGTTTGCCATCGAAAGAACACCAAAAGTGTTCACATGTCGATGAAAGAAACTAAGGCAAAAAGGAGTTCACACTCACATCTTTATGAAAACCAAGCAAATTCGAACATTATAACTTACTCACAGATCAATAGAGTAGCCAAATGCGGTTGTCATTCGTGATCACAATGGAAAGCTTCATGATAGTTGAGTTATATTTCATCAGTACATCCAAACTACCCACCTACACCAAAGAGTGATTTATTGCTCGAAACCCTGCACCGATATTTCGATTTGCGCGCCTTCAAATTTGGGGTCTTGGACGTGCTGAAAAATATTCCAATTCAAACAAGCATACAAGTGCTTCGGAACCCGTGAACGTGCATAAATTCGTGATATGGGAACGGCAGTCCAATTTCTACCGCGTCTGTCGATCTAAAGCGTCCACGGGACGTGCTATCATCACGACCAGACTGCGTCTTAACGTAATGTGATGCCTTGCATCCTTCCATGACCCTGCGAGCTACACAGGATGGCTTCTCAAAGCCGAAGGTCCAATCGTGCTTGAAAGGTCAATGGGTAGAGGCCAGACATAGATCAGCATCACACGGCCAGCAGATCGGACACTTCCTGGCTTCCTATGTCTATCCACTTGCGGCCCTGGGAGGTCACTCCATCAACGAAGACGGTGAGAGGCAGTTTACCGGTCAAAAACCCCGCTAGATGGACGTAGGAGCGGGTTACCTGGGACTTCCTCTCGACGGTGGGAGAAGTCGTCACACTTCATTGGACAGCTACTGCTCACCCAAGCTGGGCAGCCTCCAGCCAATGTAGTGCTGTCCCGTCCACGTTCCACTTGTCTCATTGAATGCATAAAAACTAAGGGTCAATCCAGAACAGCGGAAAGCACAGTGAACTGAAACCCAAAGTCCTTGCGTTACAGGTCTTAAGAAATTCGCACACAGGTGTTTTGGCCACGCTCTCGCGATGGACCTACGCCCAATTGGCTTGTGGGTCAGACTTATGAGTTGAAAGCTCTGGCCAGGGTTCCCAAAGAAAAACCCGTTCATCGGTGTGGGGTACCGCAAAGTATGTCGTGCCCAAAATTCTTAGGAGCTCATTTAAAAAACCCGCTTCCGTTTTTCCAGTTCTGTGCTCCAATAATTAGTTGGTGTAAAATACCAAAACACTATCGACGGATACCTTTCTCTTACAATCAAATGACCAATGACTAGAGAGCATGACTTCCTGTGACATGATACGTGAACGCATCACAGGAACTACAAAACTGGAGTGACAATAATAGAGAAGGAAGAAAATTAAACTAAGATGAAGATCAGTGGTATTTCTTTCTCAGTATTCCACAACATCGTGCGTGATGCACGACTACAAATATTCACTGACTGGATGTAGAAACCGATCGTCAATTACGGAGGTACTGGGAGTGGTCATGAGAACACAAAATAGCAAACAAGCCCGTTTTCGGTGCTACATCAACTGACTAGATAGAACAGATATCAGTCTCCTCTCCCTGCCTGTTTAGTCTATAAATTGTGCTGTATTTCGCCCGTTGATGTAGTACAGAAAACGAGCTTGCTTGCTATTTTGTGTTCTCAAAACTTGAAGTCGTGTACCACATCGAACCCTAACACGAAAAATGTAGTACGGAACCAGTGGAGCTGCCCATCATCACAGTTCGATGACAGCGGTATGCCGGAGCAAGCTAACAACTGCGGCTCAAACCGCTTGACTACTAATGCTATTGTTACACAAATTCGGTGCCGGTTTGAGGAGAGTCATGTATTCAAAGAACAGCAGAGGATAGAGTTAAATAAGATTAAACAGAACGAAACCCTTAATTTACATCAGTTAGTATTTTCGGGAAATGCTCTTCGTCGGTGATCGTCAGCCCGACAGCCTGTTTGTCTCTTCTGTAATTACAATAGGATAATCCTTCAATCCACTCAGAGATACCGTGAGAAACCAACATCCACTTATTTGTGCGGGCGCAGTACTCACAAATACGACTAGTACCTCACAACACTACCACCATCATCACAAGAACCACTGATAATAAAAGTTAAACTTCAGGAGCAAACTTACTTGTCCCGAGCTTTACCCACAAGACTGAATTCCACTTCGTCCATGAGTTTATCAAAAAGCTTGGTTATTGTCTCTTGTCGATCCGCTGGCATACTTGCAATCACTCGACTTCGAAGCTCCATGTAATACTGGACGAATGAGGAGGGTTCAAAGTGGGGAGGGGACAAGTAGTTAGCAGTAGTTGGACCATCATCACCCCATGTTATACAGGATTAGTCCCAATTGTGATCTCGTATTGAACAAAAACAGCAAGAGATTTCAGCATATCCGTCGGAACGTGCGGAGCATACATCCTACAAGTTCGACAAGATTGTTTCATGTAGCTAAACTACGTGCTCGCGAGAGCACAATTAACGTTCAACTAGATAAAACCCCGTGACGATGGCCGTAGACCAGATAGGTGATAGAAAAATGTACAATCGAAAAACAAACTCTGCCTGTCAAAAGCCGAAACATCCATGCTATTCTCTCATACTTGTTCCATGATCGAAATGCGATCTATGTTCAATGGTGGTGGGGATTATTGCTTTGAAGAAAACGAGTACAGGTACGGGTATCACTGGTTACGACACTCAACCGTATTATTTGATGTGTCTAACCAGCCAATCTACTCAACCCGAAGCCTTTAAGCGGGTTTCTAGAACTACTTATATGACCGAGCCCTCTGATCATAGCTTTCATACTCCAATGCCAAGTCCTAATTGGACCATCCGTAATTTTTTCTCATCCACTACTTGCCTCGGCAAACTTCGCACATCAAGGAAGCCTATCAGGTGACATGCGTAACACGTTCCAGTTAACCTAATCAATAGAAGTCGAACACCACCTTCAGTGAGCGACCGTAGATGTATAGAATTTTGCCATCCGAACTCGGTTCTACTTGTGCGACAGTTACCTCATACAGTAGCAGAGAGTTAACAACGGAATTTAGTGGTATGCGTCACGCATGTCGCCAAAAAGGTTGCCACGGTGCGCGATGTTTGCCGAGGTAGGTAGTGGATGGAAAAAAGCCAAGGGCGTTCAAAATAAGACCTGGAATGAGGGTACGAAAATCCTAACTAAGACAATAGATCACATAGATTCCCTGCATGGGAACACAGAGATCATGGTCACCGATGGTTAGAGACACTGAGCGATAATACTGGGTGTCGCAAACAGTGGCGCGCATGCATCTACTCATTATTCTTACAACTTCAGTCTATGAAAATGTGCTATTTTCTGCTTGAATCTGCTCTCAATATTCTAATCATCATTCTGCTGTTTTATCCAAATGGGTAACCAAAAGGCAACAACCAAAACCGGGGCATGAAAATGCAAGGCTAATGATTGTAAAAGCTGAAATCTCGGAGACACAGTTCCTTACGGTACTCACCTCATTGTTCAGGAATATCAAAGTGAGGAGCGGTCGAGACATGGACCACTGGTTTCGGCACTCCTCTTGCACGATCGAGCACAACAGTACCACAAGCATTCGTCGTAAGAGAAGCAAACTGGCACTGTTTGGTTTGAGCAGGTCGAGCATCTGCGTCTCCGCGACCGGAGCTCGGGTCGACCAAACCGCAAATCGTGATGCACCTTGATGCTTCTGACCCGGAGTCAGTCCGGATGATCCTTGACCGGTTGCACTGTTATTCATGGACAATGTGGTGGGATCGAGTGATATTAGATGCAACTCGGAATCGGGCCCGGTGTGCATCGACCCATTCATCAAACCCGACCGGTGTTGCTGCTGCTGTTGTACCAATTTGAAGAGATGTGTGAGTATGTAATCCAGACAAAGACAACAGTTGTCTGATATGGCTGTGTCTGGAGGTCAGTAGGGCAACAAACGAGCAGAACATTAGGAATCCCGAAAGAATTAAATTCAAGCATTGAAAAATAGCCATAGGGTTGTTATAGAGGTTAATGTGCACCTGGCTTTACGCCACTATGCGGACCACAACGCGTTTGGGTATTGTTCCCTTATCGTGTGCGTCTCGCGCGCACTACGGTGCGCGGGCTTGCCTCGATCACCCGATCCCAATCCAATCGAACAGTTGTGAGACCAATTGGTGGAGAAAGTGAATCACGGTGTGGCAATACAAATCTGCAACCGGTCTAAAGTATGTCTTAAAGAAAGAACGGAACCGGATGCCACAAGAAACGGTTGAAAGTGAGCGGAAATCGACGGATAAATGCCGTTATATTATCCTAGTACGGCTTAACCATATACTAGAGTGATCGAATGATAACGATCACAACATACAACAAAGCATTGATTATTTAAAGTGTAAGGTGAAACAACCGAACAAAAATTGTTCGTCTTGTTATTCCCTGCATCTCTTTGACCACCCTTCCACTCGGTTTGATATCCCAACCGTCGTTCTCTGTTACTATTGTTGTAACGTTGGCACCAAGCTTGCTGACAATAGCGGGATTCATCTGATAGTAATCAGTTGGTTAGATGATTGAAGAAAGGCGTTTAGTATGAACCCTATTTGTAGCGCCAGACGGAAATAACAGAGTTACGAAGGCGGACAAAACGAGTCAAAACCGTGCTTCCAACTAAAGGCAGCATGGGGATTGTGGATCCTAGCCTGATTTAAGTCTCATGAAAAAGAGTTTTCAAATCTTTTAATGAAGTCAAGTACAGATACCATCTACTCTTCCATCAATCTAAGCACAGCCTCACAGAGCTTCGGCGTCGGTATACCGTTCCAACCGATACATCATCAGACACGATTGTGATCGACTGAGTCAAAATCCACTCGCAAATCGAGCAGCACAGAATTCAAGACCAGAATATTTAGATTCCATACTGGTTGTTGACAACTCCAAGCGCGGGGAATGAACTAGAGTTGAGAAGTCGAACAAAGATTCTCAATCCAACAGTTTGATCCAAGTGACAGTGAGGTGGGAACACGACCGAGTTACTTTAAACCAAAGGGAGACTAAAAATGCTTTGGGTCGCGCTCACTAGTGAGCTGTATCTAGACAATGATCTGGGATATTTCTGCAATCGGTGAACTAATTGGAACTGGGAATTGACTGCATCCAGATCAACCGAAGGCCAACTAATTTTCCAAACATTGTTTGAAGGTGAATGAGCTTCGCCCGGTTTTCGAAATAAAATTAGATTTACCGCCGTCATTTCTTTAGAGGCATCGTAGTGAGATATATTTGATGGGTAAAATCCTCCTGTTGTCTCGGTCAAGTGAGGAGTCTTTTAGAGGAGCGATCATAGAGGATGTGAGAAGGGCACCGGTGCCGTTAGTGTCGAACTGGATTTCATTCAACTTGCACGAACAGATGATTCGGGAGTGAATAAACTGTCTGCTCGGAAGAGCGTTGATGTCTCGTTCGTCAGAGCACAAAGGAGATTAAACCAAAACAGCAGATATTTCTACATTGTGACTTTGTTACTGTTGCAATTTCAAACTCATTGTATTGGAAAGACACAAAAAGGTTCAATGGAAAACAGTAGCAAGGCATATCAATCATATTTCAGGCAAAAGCAACGTCTACCTACGGCTAAATTAACTTTATCGTTTAACCAGATACTGAATGAACAAAAAGCGGTTTCAAAAGTTCCACTCACCGATCGAGGATATATTGTTTGCAATTGTGTTGAGAAAATGCAACAGCACAGGTTCACCCAACGAGGCCACGAAAGTCATGTGATCATTTACCATGTACTCGAGTAGCTCGAAATAGGCCAGCGCGACTTTTGGATACTCCTGTGTGTATTTGTCGAATAGAAGAAAACCAGCACCGGAATCATTGCATTAATGCACACACCAACAAAAATCGTTGCCAGGCGTAAGCGAGAAAACATTTATGAAGAACAATCACACCAAGGGACTGGTAACCGGAGACACGGCCGCATCAGATAAGTTACTCGCAAAGTGAGAGTAGTGAGTAAACCCTCGGATTAATGTGGATATCGATATTATGTATTTGTCGGATTGAATATTTGAGATGTTACTATTTCCTACATCGTTCTTTCACGGAACTCTGATGGATCGGTCGAATCGATATATCGCCGAAATAAAAAAGGATCCGTTCGTACATGACACTGTATTTTCGGGAAATAGAATACTACCGACAAATATTCAGTTAAAAATGTATCGCATTTTATTTCATACTTCAATCATTGTTTGAAGTGCCGAATGGAACGCACAAAAAATCATTCAGGAGCTGTTCGTGAACGTAAGGTTGTTTTCGTAAAAAAATAAATGTGTTTCTTAGTGATTTATTGTCGGAGTCGCTGAAAAGGTCCAACCGGTTAGATTACGAGGCGGTGAGTGAAAACCACAGTTCCCCCCCCCCATTGAG